AAGGTGTCACCAGATTACAGAGGGTCTCCTCAGGTGCCTGAACCAACTCTGCTGATGAGGAGGAGCAGCAGCTCCTCTCTGAGCTCGGCTGCTGAAAGAGGAAGATCCTTTCAGTCAGTGGGATCCAGTATCTCTTAGGTTACAATCCAGCAAATCCAGAGTGTTCCTTTACGCTCATCTCCTTCACCATCGCCGACCCGGCCAGCACATCACAGAAGAAGAAGCCCGGATCCGTTGGTCCAGCTCATTTCCATCCAACCATTTTTCAGGGCTCGGATTCCCATCCTGGCTAGGGCATTCCGCCATTTTCCAACGGTGTGACGGTGGCACACCTTAACCACACCTGAAGAGTTGCAGGTTTGAGTTTAGTCTATTGCAGTCATTGTGTCCTTGAGCGAGACACCATGACTGCTGGTGGGGATGGAAGGGGCCGGTGGAACCTGTCAGTGTGTCCCAGGGCAGCTGTGGCTATGTTGTAGCTCATCACCATCTGTGTGTGAATGAGTGAATGACTGGTGTGTTTTTTTATAAAGCACCTTGGGGGTTGTAGCACTCTAGAAGGTGCTATATAAAGACAGCCCATTTAACATTTAAAGAGCAAGTCACCCCCTACCAGAGTATTACTCCAGTCCCACTTTTTGTTTGAAAAATGCAACAAATGCTATTGCCTAGCAGACCGAGAGGGCGGAGCCACTAACAAATGCACACACACACACAGGCTCACAACGACATTGTGACATCATATGGCACCAGCTAACGTTCTAGGGTACCTCTTAGCCAATAGCAATGGCGGATTTAAATTCAAATGCACTGCAGAGTTTTTACCTGACAACGGCACAACACTGACAGTTTTAGGCAGAAAATTAAAATTGTAACTAAAATGCACTAAAGTGCAAAACTGTTGACTACACGTGTCTGCAGCACGATTAGACACACATTTATATAGTTTATCAGGAAAAAAGTAGATTTTGGGGTAGTGATGGGTACTGAATTCGGTACTTTTTAAGGACTGAATTCCACAGTACCGACTGAGCACCGATTGACGTCATTTGAAACGGTGCCTCGTTTCGGTACCCGTCCTTCATAACGAGAACTTGCCTAGACAGCTGTGCATGCGCAAGAGCGTTATGTCGTTGGTCGCTGCGAGCGAGTTGTAAACAGAGCAGCACGGAAGAAAGAACGCACGCTAAAGCTTGGGTCCACTTCACTAAATGTGATGGGTAACTGGGTGATGATGAAACCAGCGACAACGATCTAAGTGAGACATCCTCATCTTAATCTGCTCTGGTAGGTAAATAAAATGTTTAAGATAACGTTAGCTTGATATGTTAGCTTTTGTTTCGCTAATGGTGTGTTTGCTTTCTCTTCGGAACTCCGAATTCCCGACTAGAAGAACATGAATGCGCTCTAAAGTTTGGCTTCACTTTACTAAATGCGACGGGTGATTGGGTGAAGATGAAACCAGTGACAATGATCTAAGTGTGAGGCATCATCGTTTAAATCTGCTCCAGCAGCTAAATAAACTGTTTAAGATAACGTTAGCTTGATATGTTAGCTTCCATTGCCACCATTGTTATCAGCTAATGGTGCGTTCGCTTTCTCCTCGGAAATTCGAACTTCCCAGTAGGAAAAATCAAATGAAAAAGGACGGTTAAAGGAATGAAGATGCACAGTAAATTTAGTTCACAGTAAAGATGTTTGCTTCAGTTTAATTATCAGCTTATAAAACTACAAGGACGATGTTAAAATACAAACAGTTGTATGTTATTTATTGTGATATTTATCAAATATGGTTATATATTGAGAAAAATATATATTTAATTATAAAAGAGAATTAAAATAATAAACACTCAAAAGTATCTAAAATTGGTACCGTTAAGTACCGGTATCGATTCCTAGGTACCGGGAATTAGTACCGGATCGATTCAAATGTCAAAGGTACCCATCCCTATTTGGGGATGACTTGCTCTTTAAGAACCTGGACCTTTGAGAACCTGAGCAGGAGCAGACCTAACGTCTCCAGCTGTGACACCTGTCATCATATGTCATCACATCGGTTTGTTCCTCGTCTCCCTGAAGAACCTGAAGAATCCGTATTTATTAATTAGTTTGAAGCGTTTCTTGTTTCTGACTCACCTGCGTGTTGATGTGAATCTAAAGGAAGCTCATTAACGCTCGTGGAGGTAAACTGCAGCTGAGGTGGCGATGATCCTCAGAAACAGGAGACACAAACCCTCATTAGCAGACTGTAAACCTGAAAGTGCTCCACCATAAATCTGTCACCTTTATTCTCACGTTTACTGCTAACAGATTTTTGAACCCGTTTTACGTGACGCTCGTTACCACCGACAGCTGCTCGCTTTTAATTATGCTGCTGGAGTTATTTGGGTCCAGCTCTCCGTATACGTGCTATGTTCGGTACATCTGCTCACGTCTGTGAAGGTTTCCGAGTCACAAACACCTCGTGTTTGGTTTTCATGTCGTCTTGTTCCAGTAAAGCGCTGCTGCTCTCCTGCTGCAGCTACAAGCACGCCTCGCTTCACTTCCACTTCCTGCTGTTTCATCTGTGCTTCTAGACATCCTTTCATATGTCAAAGCTTTTACAGCCTTCCGTCGACGGCTGTGAGAGAAAACAGGTACCTGAAGGTGCTAAAGACAGACACGTGACCAAACCAGACCTAACAAGTCTCTTTGGAGCTTCTGAAGAAGCCTTTGAGTTGAGTTGATCAGCTCAGAAAGCTGTTCTAGCTGGAGCCTCCTGCTTTCTGAGCTCATCTCCTGGCATGTCGTGTCACTGAGATAAAAAATTAAACTCTTCTGTTGTGACGTGTTTCTCCCTAAAAGCCTTTCAGTGTTCATGAACATTGTTGTCCCTGAAATTCCCTCAAAGCTGCTTTCTGTTCTGAGTCCAAACTAGGGTGACCATACGTCCTCTTTTCACTCTCTGTCCGGGAGGGGGGTTCCTACATTGATCAAAACGTCCGGTTTTCCATCCAGGAGCAGGGATCGAGTTATGGGGGCTAGATATGTTTCAGGGAAAGATCCAGTTTCTGCCTATATCATAATATTTATGGACTCTCAGCGTAGCGGGGTTCTGTTGAGAGGAGAGGACGCAGAGCGTTGATCGTTGGTGCGCCCGCTGCGTCCGGCGCACGAAACATTCTCAAGGTGATGCAACAAAACGTTATTATTAACACATGATCGTTCATTTCTGTTTATATCCTTCGGTACTCCGTCTTTTAATCATTCCTGACGCGCTCAGGAGATCCCTTTGATCTGCTCAAAAGTAACTGATTAAATTCAATTCAAGTTTATTTATATAGCGCCAAATCACGACAAGAGTCGTCTCAAGGCACTTCACATAATAAACATTCCAATTCACAGTTCATTAAGCCAATCAGAAATAATGTTTCCTATATAAGGAACCCAGCAAATTGCATCAAGTCACTGACGAGTGTCAGTGACTTTACAGCAATCCTCATACTAAGCAAGCATGCAGCGACAGTGGAGAGGAAAACTCCCTTTTAGCAGAAAGAAACCTCCAGAGAATCCTGGCTCAGTATAAGCAGCCATCCTCCACGACTCACTGGGGATCGAGAAGACAGAGCAGACACACACACACACACACACACACACACACTGATGAGGTGAAAAAGTAAGAATCCAGGCAGCAGTTTTTCTGGAGAGTTTAGAGGCGATGCAGGAAGATGAGAGACGGAGAGGAAAATAGCTCAATAAGAACAAGAAAACAAAGTAAACAGGTAAAAACACGTTTTTACCTGTATAAAACAATAAGTGATACACGTGTAATATTTATACATCTGATGCACTTCAGATCACCTTCAACACTCAGTCACACAGCCAGGGCCGTCTCAAGGCATTTTGGGGGCCAAGGCAAAACGGAGCACCCGTTGATAATGAAAAATGAACAGATGTGTGTAGGTTGGCAACAATCATGTCCCTTTAAGAAGCTGGACCACCTTCAGTCAGGTAAAAATGTGACTCAACGTAACACGTGACAGCCCCATCTAGTGGACAACTTGTGTCTCTGTGCATCCCCGTAGTTATCGTCCATTTATCGTTATCGAGGTTAAATCCTCAATATATCGTGATATTGATTTTAGGCCGTATCGCCCAGCCCTGGTGTGACGTCATCGATGGGCACAGATCTCCTGTCCTCTTTTTTGGAAATGGAAATATGGTCACTCTGGTCCAAACCCCTACAGTTTTCAGATCACACGTTTAAACGATGTTCTCTAAACGTGTTTAAGTCTTTGTGAAAACAGTCCGATAGCGCTGACTCTGTTCCGGTGAATGCTGCAGGAGCTAAACACAAATGAAACATGCACGTGTTTCAAACACAGTGGGTCAGTCAGCTGTTTTATCAGCAACTCGGGTCAACAGGAACGTCTCTGAAACTCACTGATGACCTCCGAGGGACTCATTAGTTCACCTGGCTTATGTTTTCAGGTGTGGAAGACACAAAGCTGGGAGGTGTTGCTACACAACCTTTAGTCCTCACTAGCATGCTCGTCCTGCAGATGTCTGTATGAAGACTGTGAGACAGGATCTGACACGCAGCTAGCCCTCCTGATCCATCAGACTCATAAACCCACATCAAACCACTTCTGGCCTTTAAGCATCACGACGATCATCAGAAAATAAAATGTTCCTTTTTAAAAACTGGAGTTTTTAAATATAATTTAGTTTATCAGGTTTTAACGTTTAAAGTAAACAAACAAACAGCTGATGACCCTTGTTGTTTTGACACTTGTGCTGCTTTCTGTCATCTTCTGATGCCATTTCCTATCTTTTTTTCTTTTTGGCTGGGTCGGGATTCTGGTCCAAATCAAACGGGACCGAGGATTGTTATTCAGCGTAGAGCTGCTGCTCCTTCTCATGGAAAGGAGTGAGCTGGGGTGATTAGGAGGCCTCCAGCCTTGAGAGCGTCTTAACCCCTAAGCCATAAAGCAGTTAGAGATCTCCCACTAGTGTACCTGCCTTCACCACGAAACTGTGAAGTGCTGTTTCTGGTCAGCAGAGAGCTGTCCAATGGGAAGTAGTTTAAACCTTTTTGGTGTTGCTTTAAGGCTTTCTGGTCATTGGTCTGGGAACACCTTAGGATCCTCGAGGAGGAGCTGGAGAGTCAGATCTCTTGGCTTAGCCCCTGGATGTTACCTTCGTAACCCGACCTTGGAGGGATGAACACGGACAGAGGGACGGAGAATGTAGGACGCTCAATCCGAGAGGCTGAAAGTCATGTTTATTTTAATAACTGGCACTCTCTGTGGTTGTGACATCTGTATGGAAGCAGATGTCTAACGCTATTGGCTAAGGCTGACAGGCACTCGGGGTGTTTCTCAATGTCAAGGTGCCTGACTTGCGAGGCGATGTCTTGCGAGGCCAGGCGCCTTGCTTACGAGGACACGGTCCTTCTTTGGTCAGAGAAAACGGTTAAATGGAACAGACTTGCATCACGTGACCGCGGCTTCCACGGCAAATGGCCTGTATTTGATATAGTGCCTTCTAGAGTCCTGGAACCCCCCAAGGCTCTTTACAACACAATCAGTCATTCACCCATTCACACACACATTCACACACTGGTGGGGATGAGCTACGATGTAGCCACAGCTGCCCTGGGGCGCACTGACAGAGGCGAGGCTGCCGAGCACTGGTGCCACCGGTCCCTACGACCACCACCAGCAGGCAAAGTGGGTTAAGTGTCTTGCCCAAGGACACAACGACAGTGACAGACTGAGTGGGGCTTGAACCTGCAACCTTCCGATTATGGAGCGAGCGCTTAACTCCTGTGCCACCGTTGCCTCGACGATGATCACATAACGTCACATAACACGGGAGATAACGTTATATTTTATAAGTATTAGTTTCAATATAAATATATAACGAGCCTTTTACTTTTTAAATTGTGTATATGTTTATTAAATTAAATATATAAGTGAGTTACTACCCGCTAGCCACCGAAGCTGCAACTACTAAGCTACTAACCAACCATAGATAACTTCTTTGGATCTAAAAAAACATTTTAAATTAGTTGACTTACTTTTAAACTTGAAATTGTCCCCGAAGTAGCTGCCGGCTTCTGATCCGCCGTCCTTTTGAAAATACCGCGGTGTATTCCGGGTAATTTTTGACCAAGGCCAGGCTACAAGACACCTCCCGTGTATCCTCGCTCAGCTAGCTAAACGGCTAACAAACGGAGAACACTCCTAGGTAGAACATGAACATTGGAACGTGTCTTGGCGGCTCTCGATGACGTATCTCCTAGGCAACCAGGGCTGGGCCAAGACATCAAGGTGAGGTTCCTTGGCATTGAGAAACACCCCCAGTTCCAATTCCATGGGGTCATACGGGACAGGGGGCGGGGCTTGCCTACATTGTACCACAGCACAGAATATCACAGATTAGTGGATTGCTGCTTTAAAGTTCTCATCAAGTTCCTCTTTATAAATCATGTTTGCGTAGAGAATGGCTTACGCAGTTTCCTGACTCCGTTTGGTTTGTAAGCAGGCTTTATAAATGCGGCCCCAGGTGGTTCAAACCAGCTTTTTCCCAGTGAAGCTGGAAACTAGTATTAAAATCTTCACATAGGTGAGTTCAGGCTCTGCAGCCTGGTTGTGCCGGATCAGATCCACAGACTGTGGCATGATCCAGATTCACCACAGTGACACATTTGTTTGTTTCCAGTGAAGCAGGAACATCCTGGTAACTGGAATCATGATTCCTTCTCAAACATCACCTGGACTATAGGGCAGATGGAAAAAGTAGAGTTGGATTACCAGACCCCCCCAGATCCACAAAAACATTTTCATGCATGACCTGATGGTAGGAGCCCTCTGACTCCACCCAGGGAGGGCTCATATGTCTAAACTAGTGTGGAAACACGTTGGGATCCCACTAAAACGTGGCAAGTGGAACATCTGAACTGGTTATTAGTGAAAGTTGATATAAAAGGGTTAGGGGTGACGATAAAGCTGGAGTTTGCTACATGCAGAACTCAGATCCTCCACCAGAGGGCTGAATGCACAATTATTTTATGTCTGAGTATTTTGGTGCAGCAACGTATCTTTCTGTCACATCAGTCCTTTAGTCTCATATCTGACTCAGTCATCAAACTCGTGGTTCAGCAGCTCCTCTCCTCTGGCCTTGTGTTGACCTTTGGTGCTCTAAAGGTCATGAAGAATCCTCCTGTTTTCTGTTTTTCAGGATTATCTCCTGAGTCACATGTACAGCAATGCGGCCAGAGACGATCTGTGGAGCAAACTTTCTCAGGTAACCTGACCTGCTTCTCTGGTATTTGAACTACCAACCTCCTGGCCCACAGGCTGCACGGCAGAATCGAACTTCGTATGACTTTATTGTTCCAGGATGGAGAAGCAGTGCAAATCAGTGAAGCTGTTAATTATTGAAGGAACCTAATGAAGGCTGAAGAGATGCTCGTTAGAACTGCTTTAATAAGACGGAAAATGTTTGTTGCCATGGTAACCTGAGCCACTCCCCTCGGCTCGCCTCGGCTTTCTTATTTGTCTAACAGAGAAGTATTCTGAAGTAATCCTGTTAAATGAAGCTTGTTTTCCACTGAAACTGCTCTTTGATTAGTTGTTAGCCCATCAGACCTCTAATTACCTGAAACTCCTGAAGATGTTGGCTAACGATTTCCTGTATCGCTAACGAGCAGCGGAACCTGAGGTTCGATCATTTAGGCTCACGTCTGTCTGCTGGTTCCTTCAGGCGATGCGTTCAGATGGGCGGGACATTGACATCGGTGACATGATGGACAGGTGGACTTTACAGATGGGATACCCTGTTGTCACCATCAGCAAGAACCAATCAGAGCAGCTGCCGACTCATTACATCACCGTCAGCCAGGAGCACTTCCTGTATGGAGAGGAAGTCAGGAAAAACATCAGGTTAGACTTTTCACATCAAATCAAAATGTATTTTAAATATTTTACTCGTTTTCGTTGTGTCAGATATAACTAAACAACATTAAAGAGACTTTTAGGAAATGTCTGCTTAAGGTTATCATTCACCTCAGTTGCTGTTAGCCGTGACCGCTAACATGACCGATAACTCTGCTCTCTATCTCCAAATGGGCTCAAATTCACCTGTTCACAAGCTAAACACAGATAGGCAAAGTTTTATTAAAACCTTTTCACTGGATTAATTTAGCTAAGACATAAAGTCTGTTAGCTAATGGTAGCTAGTTAGAGATGCTAGCATGGCTGGACATTTGAAGGACATTTCATTCCCTTTTTTCTACCTAAACTCGAGTATTGCTTTTAGCTAGCTTAAAGCCCCAGTGTGTAAAGTCTTCACCTGTTTACTATAAATTCTGTTTCCAGTTCATTAACTTGTCCTTTTTCATTAATATTTCTCACCATCAATCCTCTCAGCTTAAAATTTTACATTTTTAAATACATGAACTGTGGTCGACGCTCCATGGTCATCCACCATCTTAAAATACAGTAGCTGTTTAGGGACATACGAGCTCCGCGTTAAGCATTTGCACGATGACTGTAACCTGAAAGAAACAGCAGAGGGCAGCAGTACGCCCTGGAAGCATGGAGTCTAATTCAGCTAACACGAAGTAGAGGAGACTAGCTACACCGTTGTTGTACTTGTTAGTTTGAATAATAATCAATGAAACCGTCTGGTCGTCATCATGTCCAACACTAGGTAGCCGCATATGTTCAGATCCCCGCCCGCTATTAGCTGGACACCAGCCTCAGATTTGTCTTTGACTCCCAAACTCCCAAACTCATCTCAAGTTGCTCATTCGTCTTTTCTTCGTACCAGAACTCCCGATCCGGTCCCAATATATTCCAAAGTACTTCTACTCAGGTCCGCTCTCTTCCCCAAGCCTTCCTACACTTTACTAACTACAATGTAGTTCTCCAAGCGTTACAGAGATGACGTCCTTCTCCGAGGGCTTCTTCTCAAACGTTAACTTTAGACTTGGGTCTCCTTTGGCTGGTAATTTGTGGGAGTTTACCCGCAGCATACACAGCATCTTCCCGGCTCTAGCCATGGCTAACAAGCAGCTAGTGACGCCCATCTCCACCACGACAGCCGTGAGCCACGATTAGCTGGTGGCTAAGTCAGCATTGTTTACTTGATCTCCACAGCGTGTCCCCGGCTCGCCAACCCCCCTTCACCAGTCGTAGCTAACAAGCAGCCAGCTATCGCCCCATATCCATATAAGCTGGTAGCGGCAGCCAGTTTGTTTACATCAAACGCACCGTGATCCACGTGAAACAGGTGTTGTGGGAAATTATGTTCCCCTAAAATATTACGTTTCTCTTATGCCTGCCGCACACGAGAGCAATCTGCTGAGCAAACGGCCTCGAATGGCTGTTTGCTCAGCAGATAGCTTGCTGTGTGTGCCTGATTTTCACAGAGATTTACACTTCACAAGATGCTGAACCAAATAACTGACCAGTTAGATATTTTCCTCCTCACGCGGGTAAAAACTCGCCGTGTGCACACTACTGAGCTGCCGGCTGAGCTGAACTATTCTAGTGGCCAATCAAATTGCGTTCTCCACTCACATGACCCCAAGATTACAGCCCCCTGTCTGCATGTCAGAAAATAAACAAAACTGAGACAGAGCTGGAAATGGAGGAAGTGCATCTACTTTTTTGTTGATGAAGCGCCGCCGCCACCGGCGTTTCAAGGTTAGGAGAGTATGGTACGGTGGCTTGAAAGATTGGCCAGGCAAGGAGTTTATGCCAATTTACTCCAAGAGATGCGCCTGGAAGACCCAGAATCCTTCCGGCAGTACCGCCACCCGGATCCTTCGAGAGGGTAGTGGAAACTGTGGGCCCATCGATCCACAAGGTAGCATTTTCTTTATGTTTCAGACACGCAGATGGGGCAGGGCCCTGCATCTGAATACATCTTGGGGTCATGTGAGCTGAGAACACGCTTTGCTTGGCCACTAGAATATTTCAGCTCAGCCAGCAGCTCAGTAGCGCGCACGGTGAGTTTCTACCCCCTGTGAGGGGGAAAATATCTGACTGGTCAGATTTTCGGTTCAGCGTCTCGTGAGGCGGAAAAACTCAGTGAAAATCAGACGCACACAGCGAGGCATCTGCTGAGCAAACGGTCATTCGAGGCTGTTTGCTCAGCAGATTGCTCTCGTGTGCAGCAGGCTTTAGGCAGTCAAGAGCAAATATTTCCTAATTCACAGAACTTATTGTCCATTATGAGGACTAAACAACCTAAAATAAAAGATGGTTCAACTGAGTGAGATGACATCTTACATAAATTTCCAAAATTATTTTTTATTGTTTTTAGGAGGACAAATAGATATACAAACATCACAAGTGTGACATTATTACATTACATTTCATAATTTTCCCCTAAAGGTTTATCACAAATGTGGTGAAGATAGCCTGAAGAGTGACTTCCCGACACGAGGGACAGAATATTTATTCCATTTCCATTTTCATCCGCTTATCCGGAGTCGGGTCGCGGGGGAAGTAGCCTAAGGTGAGAGCCCCAGACTTCCCTCTCCCCAGCTACTTGGGCCAGCTCCTCCGGGGAATCCCAAGGCGTTCCCTGGCCAGATGAGAGACATAGTCCCACCACCGTGTCCTGGGCCTACTTTTAGGTGTCCTCCCGGTTGGACGCGTCCAGAAAACCTCATCAGGGAGGCGTCCATGAGGCATCCTGACCAGATGCCCGAGCCACCTCAAGTGGCTCCAATCGATGTGGAGGATCAGCGGGTCTACTCCGAGCCCCTCCTGGATGACCGAGCTTCTCACCCTATCTCTAAGGGAGAGCCCAGTCACTCTTCAGAGAAAACTCATTTTGGCCGCTTGTATCTGCGATCTCGTTCTTTCGGTCACTACCCAAAGCTCATGACCATAGGTGAGCGTAGGAACGTAGATCGACTGGTAAATCGAGAGCTTCGCCTTCTGACTCAGCTCTCTCTTCACCACGACAGACCGGTACAACGCCCGCATCACTGCAGATGCAGCACCAATACACCTATCAATCTCACGCTCCAGGTTTCCTTCACTTGTGAACAAGACCCCGAGATACTTAAACTCCTCCACTTGGTGCAGGACCTCATCCCTGGCCTGGAGAAGGCATTCTATCCTTTTCCGAATGAAGACCATGGTCTCAGATTTAGAGGAGCTGATCCTCATCCCAGCTGCTTCACACTCGGCTGTGAATCGCTCCAGCGAAAGCTGAAGATCACGTTCTTATGAAGCCAACAGGACCACATCATCTGCAAAAAGCAGAGACCTGATCCTCGAGCCACCAAACCGGATGCCCTCCACACCTTGGCTGCACCTAGAAATCCTGTCCATAAAGGTTAGGAATAGAATCAGTGAAAAAGGGCAGCCTTGGCGGAGTCCAACTCTCACTGGGAACGAGCCCGACTTACTGCCGGCAATGCAGACCAAGCTCTGACACCAGTCATACAGGGACCTAACAGCCCATATCAGAGGGCCTGGTACCCCATACTCCCGGAGTACCCCCCACATGGCCCCCCGAGGGACGCAGTCAAATGCCTTCTCCAAATCCACAAAACACATGTAGACTGGTTGGGCAAATTCCCACGCACCCTCCAGGATCCCCCTAAGGGTATAGAGCTGGTCCAGTGTTCCACGGCCAGGACGAAAACCACATTGCTCCTCCTGAATCTGAGGTTCAACAATCCGATGGACCCTCCTCACCAGAACCCCTGAATAGACCTTACCAGGAAGGCTCAGGAGTGTGATTCCCCTGTAGTTGGAACACACCCTGCGGTCCCCTTTTTAAATAAGGGGACCAGCACCCCGGTCTGCCAGTCGTGTGGGACTGCCCCCGATGTCCACGCGATCTTGCAGATTGCCCCCCCACCCCCCACCCCACCCTGAGGCGCCGGATGGTGGACCAGAATCTCCTCGAAGTCGTACGGAAGTCTTGCTCCATGGTCTCACCGAACTCCTCCCATGCCCGGGTTTTTGCCTTGGCGACCACCCGAGCCGCTTTCCGCTTGGAATGCCGGTACCCGTCAGCTGCCTCTGGAGTCCCAACAGGCCAAAAAGACCTGATAGGACTCTTTCTTCAGCTTGACAGCATCCCTAACAACCGGTGTCCACCAGCGAGTTCGGGGGTTGCCACCACGACAGGCACCGACGATCCTGCGACCACAGCTCCGGTCGGCCACCTCAACAATGGAGGCACGGAACAGGGTCCATTCAGACTCAATGTCCCCGCCTCCCAGGTGGGAATTGAAGCTCCTTCTGACAGGAGACTCTGCCAGACGTTCCCAGCAGACCCTCGCAAAACATTTGGGCCTGCCTGGTCTGACCGGCATCCTCCCCCACCATCTGAGCCAACTCACCACCAGGTAGTGGTCAGTTGACAATTCCGCCCCTCTCTTCACCCGAGTGTCCAAGACATGTTTCCGCAATTCAGATGAAACAACAACAAAGTCAATCATCGAGCTGCGGCCTAAGGTATCCTGGTGCCAAGAGCACATATGGACACCTTTATATCTGAACATGGTGTTCATTATGGACAATCCGTGACTGGCACAGAAGTCCAATAACAAAACACCACTCAAATTCAGATCAGGGGGGTCGTTCCTCCCAACCACACCTCTCCAGGTCTCGCTGTTGTTGCCCACATGAGCGTTAAAGTCCCCCAACAGAACGAGGGAGTCACAGGAAGGAGTGCTTTCCAGCACCCCCTCCAAGGTCTCCAAAAATGGTGGGTAGTCTGAACTGTAGTTTGGTGCATAAGCACAGACCACAGTCAGAACCTGTCCCCCCACACGTGGGCGGAAGGACGCTACCCTCTCGTTCATTGGGGTAAACCCCAACGTACAGGCACCAAGATGGGGGGAAACTAGTATGCCCACCTCTGCTCGGCGCCTCTCAGTGGAACAACTCCAGAGTGGTAGAAAGTC